GTTTTCATCTTAAGTTTATTGCTACTATCAAGTTAATATACGGCGCTTGTTCTATATTGACTCGATAGTAAGTTTTATTAATGAACGCATCTCGTTATTAATAACTACCCTCGATGAACTGGATATACTCCTCGATTGAGTATTCGAGAGGAAGATAGTTAAAGATATAACCGGGATCGACGAACATTTCATTAAGTGGATAAAAGCGAAACCAAGTCTTCATCTCATTGAATTAAACTCATATAGGTTGTTTATCTTAGTGTTGTTAAAACAAACAAATCTAAACCCCCCTTTGTTACTACTTTTATAAAAGAAAAGTATTCCTTTCCCTGTGGATACGAACCTTACTACACTATACTACGTATTAGTGTTGTATTGATTATTTATTTTGAGTGCACCTAACGACAAGTGCACGTTAAATTTGGCGCCGTTGCCGGGGATTGGCAATTATTTTCTTTTATTTCATATCAAGAAAAATCAAAAAAAAATATTAAATAAAAAAATATAAAGAGTGTTTATTTTTCTATTTTCTGAGCTTAGTGGAGTTTATGGTTAAACATCGTTCCATAAACGAAATCACATATCACAAAAACCCAGAAATAGAACAAACTTTCGAGCGGTTGAAAAGTAAATTTTTTAACACCGACTCGGAAGAATCATCTTCCAGAGATTCATACACCGCTAGCTCTAGCTCTAGCGACACCGAAGAGCCAACCACAATGGCTCTTGAAACAAGAACGCTGAGGGAGCTCACAGCTCCAAACCTCAACCAACAACCACTGTGTATTACCTTCCCTACACTTGATGAGGGTAATACGTTTGAGCTAAAATCTGGGCTCATTCATCTACTGCCATCCTTCCATGGCCTGAGGGGAGAGGACCCGAACAAACATTTATCGGAGTTCCACGTCGTTTGCACAAGCATGTGCCCAAACGGTGTGACAGAAGAACAAATCAAACTGCGGGCATTTCCATTTTCACTGAAGGATACCGCAAAGGATTGGCTATTCTATCTTCCTTCAGGAAGTATAGGTACATGGGCAGCCATGAAGAAAGCATTCCTAGAAAGGTATTACCCTGCCTCTGTCTCATCCTCTCTAAAAAACAAATTAGCAACGTGGAGCAGAAGGATGATGAATCGTTCTACGAATATTGGGAACGATTCAAGAAACTGTGTGCAAGCTGCCCTTATCATGGCTATTCGGAGCAAGACCTCATCTTATATTTCTATGATGGTCTTTGCAATGAAGATAGGCGGATGATAAACGCCGCATGTGGAGGAGGGATTGTCAACAAGACCCCTTCTCAAGCTACAAACCTCATCTCGGAGTTGGCCGAGAATTGTAGGCACTATGATCGGCGATCATCAAAACGAGTTATGGCGGCAGAATCCAATAACTCATTGGAAAGTCAAGTAGCTGGCTTGACTTCTTTGGTTAAAGATTTTCTCCTACATCCGAAACCTCAAGAAGTCAAGGTCTGCGGCATATGCTCGACGCAAGGGCACCCCACCGACTCTTGCCCAACACTACAAGAGGAGAACGTCGAACAGATCAATGCTTTGGGTTTCCAAAATCAAAAGAGGTATAACCCTCAAAGCAACACCTACAATCCGGGATGGAGGGATCATCCCAATTTAAGGTACGGAAACTCTCAACCTCCTCAACCATTAAATCCCCCTCCTCCACAATATAAACAACAAGGCCAAACTTCAAACTCGAACATGTCAACCGAAGACATGATTCGATCACTTGCCATGAACATGGCAACAATGCAACAAAGTGTGGTTCAATTCCAAGAAACAACAAAATCCAGCATCCACGACTTAGAAAGCCAAATCAGCCAAATCTCCAATGTCGTGAGTAGGCTTGAAGCTAAGGATTCAGCAAGGCTACCATCTCAAACGGAGCCGAATCCTAGGCAACAAGCCCATGCAGTCACATTACGGAGTGACAAGGAATTGGTTATGGCCAAGGAGAAGGCAAAGAGCCACATTGGCGAAGAGGAGGAAGAAGAGGAACTGGCGGAAGTAACTCAACCGGAGGTGGAAGTTCAAATCCCAACCCCACCACCGGTCATTCCCGAGATTGAAGCACCCTTCCCCGAGGCTATAAGGGAAACACGAAAGCTGGAGAAAGACAAGGACATCTATGAGACATTCTCCAAATGTGAGGTAAATATCCCTCTCCTTAACTTGATAAAGGGTGTTCCTAGATTCGCAAAATTTTTCAAAGAACTATGTACAATAAAAAGGAAACATAGACTCAATGGAAAACAAAAAGTCCAAGTTAGTGAACATGTTTCGGCAGTTTTTCAAAAGAAACTCCCAAAGAAATACAATGATCCGGGCATGTTCACTATACCTTGCAAGTTGGGAGGAACTACGTTTTCAAAAGCCATGCTCGATTTAAGAGCATCAATTAATGTCATTCCTTACTCTTTATACAAATCACTTGAGCTTGGCCATTTAAATGAAACCGGAGTAGTCATTCAACTTGCGGATAGATCAAATGCCTACCCTAAAGGTATTGTCGAAGACGTACTAGTTATGGTTGACAATTTGATTTTCCCCGCTGACTTTTATGTTTTAGAAATGGAGAATGATAAGAATGCGGTTCCTATCCTTTTAGGAAGGCCATTTTTAAAAACCGCTAGAGCAAAGATTGACGTATTTAGCGGCTCTTTAACAATGGAATTTGATGGGGATAAAGTTGAATTCAACATTTATGACTCCATGAAATATCCAAATGAAAATCATTCTTTATTTGCCATTGATATTGTTGACCCCCTTGTACAAAATACTTTTGAAATCAATAAGGAGGACGAATTGTTAAGTATACTTGAGAATGACTTTGGGGAAAACTCTTCAGAACTTGCCTTGACCCCCAACACACAAGCTATGATAGTGGAATTGGATACTCACTTCCAACTCCCACTTATGCCACCGGGGTCTAGGGTATTTCCGCTAACCATCCCCGAGGAAAAGCCCCTACCTTCAGTTTTGCAGGCACCCGATGTTGAGATGAAACCACTCCCAACACATTTGAAATATTTGTTTTTGGGGGAAAAAGAGACACTACCGGTCATTATCTCAAACAAATTGACCGGAGAACAAGAAGGCAAGTTGATAGCAGTGCTCAAGGAGCATAAACTAGCAATTGGATGGACTATAGCCGACATCAAAGGCATTAGTCCATCTACTTGCATGCATCGCATCTTAATGGAGGATGAAGCCAAGCCGGTACGACAGCCGCAACGAAGACTAAACCCACCTATGATGGAGGTGGTCAAAAAGGAGGTGATCAAACTACTCCAAATGGGGATAATCTTCCCCATCTCCGACAGCAAATGGGTTAGCCCAACCCAAGTGGTTCCAAAGAAGACCGGAGTCACGGTAGTGGAAAACAAACATGGAGAACTTATGCCCACCCGAATTCAAAATGGATGGAGGGTATGTATAGATTACCGTAGACTCAATGAGGTAACTAGAAAGGATTTCTTTCCTTTACCCTTCATCGACCAAATGCTTGAGAGACTTGCCGGGCATAAGTTCTATTGCTTTCTTGATGGCTACTCCGGGTACTTTCAAGTGCCTATAGCCTCTGAAGATCAAGAGAAGACCACTTTCACTTGTCCATTTGGCACTTTTGCATACCGGCGCATGCCATTCGGACTTTGCAATGCCCCGGCCACATTCCAACGATGCATGATGAGCATATTCTCTGAATATGTTGAGCTATTTATGGAAGTCTTTATGGATGATTTTACAATCCATGGAGACTCATTTGATTCATGCCTACTTCATCTATCTCTTGTTTTGAAGAGTTGTTTAGAATCAAATCTTGTTCTAAACTCTGAAAAATGTCACTTTATGGTGGAGGAAGGAATTGTCCTAGGCCATGTGATTTCGTCCAAAGGAATAGAGGTGGACAAAGCAAAAGTGGAGGTTATCCAATCACTACCTTATCCTACCACCGTTAAGGAGATACGATCATTCCTTGGACATGCAGGTTTCTACAGGAGGTTCATCAAAGATTTCTCAAAGATTGCATCTCCTTTATGCACACTTTTGCAAAAGGAGGTGGAGTTCATATTCTCCGAGGACTGCAAGAAGGCATTCAATGCTTTGAAGGAGAAATTAGTAACCGCACCTATCATCCAAGCCCCGGATTGGTCTCTTCCCTTTGAGATCATGTGTGATGCTAGTGACTATGCGGTCGGGGCCGTTCTGGGCCAAAAGGTGGGAAGAGCATCTCATGTGATCTATTATGCATCCACCACACTCAATGATGCCCAACGCAACTACGCCACTACCGAAAAAGAAATGTTGGCCGTCGTTTATGCGCTCGAAAAATTCAGGTCATATTTACTTGGTACCAAAGTGATCATTTACACTGATCATGCGGCTATTAGGTTCTTGATGACAAAGAAAGAGGCCAAACCACGGCTGATTCGATGGATACTACTCCTGAGCGAGTTTGATGTTGAGATCAAGGACAAGAAAGACATGGAGAACTTGGTGGCCGATCACTTGAGCCGTTTGGTCTTGGGTGAAGGAAACAATCATATCAAAGATGATATGCGAGGCGAATTTCCCGATGAAACCCTTTTCTCCCTTAAGGAAATTCGTCCTTGGTACGCTCACATTGTTAATTTCCTTGTTCTAAACAGATTTCCACCAAGCTTCTCTAAAGCTCAAAGAGAGAAACTCCAGCATGATGCAAAGCAATACGTATGGGATGAACCATATTTATGGAAACATTGCAAAGATCAGGTCATTCGAAGGTGCATTCCCGAAACAGAAATTGCATCCATGCTTGCTTTTTGTCACTCACATGCATGTGGTGGCCACTTTGGAGGAAAACGAACATCCATGAAGGTACTTGAATGTGGTTTTTGGTGGCCAAGCTTATTCCGAGATGCTCATGTCTATTGTCAATCTTGTGATAATTGCCAACGCATGGGCAACATCTCTCGAAAGCACGAGATGCCACAAGTTCCTATGCTCTACGTGGAGATCTTTGATGTGTGGGGAATAGATTTCATGGGACCTTTTCCTAATTCCCATGGAAATCTATACATTCTATTGGCGGTAGATTACGTATTTAAATGGGTGGAAGCAAAAGCCACAAAGACCGATGATGCCAAAGCGGTGACTGAATTCCTCAAAACCCGCATCTTCTCAAGGTTTGGGGTACCACGCATCTTGATAAGCGACGGAGGCACTCACTTCTACAACAAAACTGTGAGTACCTTGTTAAAAAAATATGGCGTCACACATAAAATCTCCACCGCCTACCACCCACAGACAAACGGTCAAGCTGAGGTATCAAACAGAGAGCTGAAATCTATTCTTCAAAAGACAGTAAATCCAAACCGTAAGGATTGGAGCCTGCGCATGGATGATGCCTTATGGGCATACAGGACCGCTTTCAAAACCCCAATTGGAATGTCACCCTATAGACTCATGTTCGGTAAGGCCTGTCATCTTCCGGTCGAACTCGAACACAAGTCTTATTGGGCGGTCAAAACATTCAATCTCGACATGGCTAAAGCGGGAGAGCAAAGGAAGCTACAACTCCAAGAACTAGAAGAGCTTCGATTGGAGTCCTATGAGAATGCCGCCATCTACAAGGAAAAGATGAAGGTATGGCATGACAAGATGATAATAAGAAAGGATTTCCAAGTTGGAGACAAAGTCCTTCTTTTTCTCTCACGCCTTCGCCTTTTCCCCGGAAAATTGAGATCACGATGGGAAGGACCATTCGAGGTGGTCAAAGTCTACACCCATGGCGCAGTGGAAATAAAAAGCCTCGACACCGGAAAAATCCTCAAGGTTAATGGACATCAACTCAAACCATTCCTTGAAGGTTTCCAGAAAGAAAACATTGAATGCATGGATCTCATCGATCCAATCTTTGAAGAATGAACACAACAATGGCGTCGTGCCGCGACGTTAACTAAGGCGCTTCTTGGGAGGCAACCCAAGCAAGGTACATTTTTCTTTTATTGTTAACCCCCCTGTCAATGTTTTCAATTATGTTTTTGAGAGGTTGAGAGAGAGGGCACTAATCAGGTTTGTGGAGGAAAAGAGATAAAAATGCAGGTTTTGGAACATCTGGGGACATACCCGATCGAGTACCACCTTATACTCGATCGGGTATGACCAAAAAGAAAAGGGACCGGGCATTACTCGATCGAGGAAGCACTCAAAAAATTGAAAAACAAGGAATACCCGATCGGGTATCACTATACACCCGGTCGGGTATGTATAGAAATGCTAAAATTGAAGGAGACTGACTCCCACACTCGACCGAGTACCTGCTTCAAAAGTAGAAAAAAGCACATACCCGATCGAGTATGGAGGAATACTCGACCGGGTACAGGAGGCAGGCTGCTCACAAAGTTCACTTTCCAGACATACTCGACCGGGTAACAACACACTACCCGATCGAGTACATGAGGCAGGCCACTCAAAAACTAAACTTTCCAGCAATACTCGACCGGGTAACGGTACATACCCGATCGAGTACGGGAGACAGATTGCTCAAAAGGCCACTTTCCAGACATACCCGACCGAGTAACAGCAAATACTCGATCGGGTATACGGGTATTATAACCCCAAACCAGCCCCAAACACTTCATCTTCCCCAAAATCCCCAACCCCAATTCGAAAAAAATACCCCCAACCTCCATTTTTACACCTTCTCTCTACCATATCTCCCCCATTTCTTCACCAAATCATCCCATTTCAACACCAAAACACTCCCCTCATCCTCCTCTACACACTCATACTCACCAATCCCATTCTCCCCCAAATTTCAGAGGTCCGAAAAACCCTACCCCCCACCTTCAAATTTCGGATTTCAAGGCCAAATTCACTCCAAAATGGCTCCAAGGAAAGAGAAAGGACAAAGCTGAAGCACTAGGGCATCCATCCCGGGCTACGAGGACATCCTCTTCATGGACAACGAACATCGCACCCGCTTCGTGTCCACAATTGAAAGGCAAGTTAACCTTCTCGCTTTTTATGTCATGATGCCCTAAAGGAATTAGGAGTGTACAAAATGATGAAGAAATTTTTTCATGAGTTGAGCACGGACAGAATTTTCAAAATGCAATATCACTCAAATGAAAAAATTATCTATGAATTCCTAAGCTCTGTGCACTTTGAGAACAATGAAGAGGATTTTAGGGATGATAAACTCAGGTTTCGATTGTTTAACCACAACCACACCATCACGAAACTTGAGTTCGCCGAACACTTTGGTATTCCGGTCCCGTACCAAAAATCTATATCCGACAATACCGCCTTCGGCCATACCCTATGGACAAAGATGACCGGGGAGACTAAATTTAGCTCCTCCCAACTCTATATTAGTCATGTCCAACATCCCGTCCTCCGCCTATTTTTGAAATTCCTCGCCAACTCCTTACTTGGACGTCCCAACAACCATGACACTAGGATGGGGGATGTGTGTGTAACAATTGAGATTAATTTAAAAGGATTAATAGTACTACTCATACCAACAGAGATATTGGTAATTTAAAGGCTCGTGGTGGTTTGTGGGGACAGTACTAGAGGTCTGGAGTAACTCCCTCGGGTCCTGCGAGGCCGGGGTGTTACAAGTGGTATCAAAGCAACCCTGCGACAGTGTGCTGATCCGTTGGATATCAGGCGGGCACTTAGCGGGGGAAAAGATTCTGGGATATGATTGAGATTGGTTTATGGGTGCAACGAGGACGTTGCGTTCCTAAGTGGGGGTGATTGTAACAATTGAGATTAATTTAAAAGGATTAATAGTATTACTCATACCAACAGAGGTGCATCTCCTTTTAAGGGAGCTCATCACCCAAGAACTCCAAAGTTAAGCGTGCTTGCACGGGAGTAGTCTTGGGATGGGTGACCCCCTGGGAAGTTTCTCAGGGCGCGCACGAGTGAGGACAAAGTGCGCGGAAAAGGCTAGTGGCGGTTTGTGAGGACAGTACTAGAGGTCTGGAGTAACTACCTCGAGTCTGTGTGGGGCCCCGGGGTGTTACAGTGTGCCTGATATCGGTAGCCCTATTCCGTATCCACGTAGATTTCAACCTATGTAATCTTATGTGGGCACATCTAAAAAAAGAAAGTGTGGCAAAGGGTGCTATTGTAGTGGGCGGGGTGATTATGCACTTGGCCACAAAGTTCGGGTATACGGATAACTCTCCTATACCTGACTACTGTTTGATGAACATTGCTTGGCTGGGCCACTCGGGCTGTACATCTTTTTCACACACCGTTTATGGTGAAGAAGGGCCCAGAAATATGTACAACTGGCACATCCACCCCAAACCCTTCAAATACTTCCTCCTTCCCAACCCAGAACTCCCCCAACTCCACTGCAAAACAGGAAGAGTGGAGCAACATTACCTCTTCCCACACGCCCTTCCACCACATCTCCAGGAACCAGAACAAGAACCTCCCCAACACCAACCCGATTACGAGCCCTATGCTCAACTCCATAGCCATCACAACATGAGCCAGGACATCCCAGAACAGAGCCAAAATCCTCCACCACCCGACTTCTTTCAACAACTTCTGGAGGGTCAACAACAACTGCTTACGGGAATAGCCCAAATGGACAACCGGCTCACCCGATTAGAGGAGGAGCAAAGAGCCGGTTATCAGCGGCTAGAGGATGAGCAAAGAGCCGGCTTTCAACGATTGGAGGAGCTCAGGGAGGCCGATAGACATCGGTATGAGGAAGACCAACATAGGTTCTACGGACCTATGTACTCTTATATGGCACAGCAGGGATCCTTCCATACCATGGCGAACCCCCCTCCACCACCCTCGTGGTATGACCCCACTCATTGGGGTAACTTTGGAGGATCTGGCTCCGGGGGTGGAGGACTGATGGCGGAGATGGCGGGGACACCTACATGGGAGATGGTGGCCAAGGGAGCGGCTTCAGAGGGAGCTACTACGGAGGAGAAGGCGGGCACTAGGGACAGTGCTTGATTCAAGTGCGGGGGAGACACTCATGATGGTATGTAATTTTCATTTCTACCTAGCACTATGCATGTAATTCTTTTGAACTTTTACACACAAAAAAACAAAAAAATAAAGAAAAAATAAACAAAAGAAAATAAATGCTAGTTAGGTTGAAAACCCAACAAAATGGGCAATCTAAGCAAAAAAGGCTTATAAAAAAATGAGTGAGTTGGAGAGAATGGAAAATGAAAAGAGGTGCTAGGATGAAAACCTGAAAAGGCTCCTAGGCAAAATGAGAGATATGAGAGAAATGTTTGTTCTTGCAGGCACTCATTGTATCCTTGTGAAGAATAAGAAGATTCATGATAAAGAAGAAGAGAGGAGGAGAAAAGAAGATAACACTAGGAGGCCATTAAACCCAAGATGCTCTTTTGTAATTTGAGTTTAAAACTCATTTTTCTTTGTCATCCTCGGTGGTCTTTGTGTTTGTATTATGTTTTTGTTGAACTGTGGAACTTTTGGACAAACATTGACACTTGTAAACATTTGATCTTACTCGAGACGAGTAAAGGTTTAAGTGTGGGGGAGTTGATACGTTCGTAATTTCCATATTTATGTTTATGTTTTTAATTAGTTTTGCTTGACTTTTACTTTGGAAATTACACACTTTTGGTGTAATAGATTAGATTGTTAAATTCTTGTAAATAGGTTAGATTAGATATATTCTGAGCTCAAGCAGGTTTTGGTCACTCGAAGTACAGTTGGTGAACCCAAAAAGTGAAAAGAAGGTACAAAAGTTCAAAGACAAAAGAAGATCCTGAATTTTGGTCTATACTCGGTCGAGTATTAGCTATACTCGATCGGGTATTAGGTTGGAACTTCAAATCGGATCAGATCCGAAGACAAGGGAACATGCAGGGAAGATTTCGGCCACGATTTTATGTCTATACCCGATCGGGTAGACCGACATACCCGATCGGGTATGCCTTTGAATTTCAAACGAAGATCGGTCGAGTATGGTCCGAATACCATTTTCTAAGCATACTCGACCGGGTATTCATATATACTCGATCGGGTATACTCTTAGAAAATAGCCTGAAACCGGTCGAGTATGCCTCGGATCGAGTGTTACACACGTACTCGATCGGGTACCATGTATATACCCGATCGAGTACCCGAACCCCATCCCAAAAAAACCTATAAATACACCTCTTTTCCTTCACAAAAAGGCATCCAATTCCTTTGTACATCTAAGCTCAGTATAGAATAGCTCTTTCTTTATATTTTTCATCATGTTTAGTCTCCAAATGAGGAGCTAAACTCTTCCATCTTGGTTTTGCTACTTTGAAGCTTAATGAATTTGTTAGTTGTGAGTTATTTTCTTTAATCTTCTTCCTTGAATATTAATTCTTTCTTTCAAAATACTATCTCTATATCAAAGTTGGGGAGTGTTACTAAGATGACAATTAGTTAACATCTTGACATTGGTTATAGTAATAGCTATTTCTTCCTCTATGATAATATTGGGGAGTGTTACTAAGATGACAATTAGTTAACATCTTTATATTAATCATAGTAGGATTCATATATTTTAATATTCTTCCTTGAGTATTAATTAATTCCTATTCATATTTCATGTTAATATCTTAAACATTACTTAAAGTATCAACTAGTATTGTTTCTCATATTAATTATTACTAGAATCAATCGGTTAATACGCTTGTTATTAATCCGGTTCTTTCAACGGTAGTACACTTGGAATATTAATGCATGCATCTCATGGTTAATATGCCAAGGGGAATTAATTATATTGATTAAACCAATAAACCGCTTGTGTTGAGGTTATCAATCTCAATCGTTTTCATCTTAAGTTTATTGCTACTATCAAGTTAATATACGGCGCTTGTTCTATATTGACTCGATAGTAAGTTTTATTAATGAACGCATCTCGTTATTAATAACTACCCTCGATGAAGTGGATATACTTCTCGATTGAGTATTCGAGAGGAAGATAGTTAAAGATATAACCGAGATCGAAGAACATTTCATTAAGTGGATAAAAGCGAAACCAAGTCTTCATCTCATTGAATTAAACTCATATAGGTTGTTTATCTTAGTGTTGTTAAAACAAACAAATCTAAACCCCCCTTTGTTACTTCTTTTATAAAAGAAAAGTATTCCTTTCCCTGTGGATACGAACCTTACTACACTATACTACGTATTGGTGTTGTATTGATTATTTATTTTGAGTGCACCTAACGACAAGTGCACGTTAGCCACACTTGATAAACTTAGGCATACAAGCCCCCAAATATTTATTCAGAAAAACAATATCCATGAGCATTAATGTAATTTTTTTTTTAAATAGAAACAGAGGAAGCACGAACCACGTCTCTCTCCTAGATTTGCCCGAAGCAATGGGCGATGGTAGCAAGCTTTAACTTCTACCTGAAAACTGTGAGGTGGCCTCCCCCGTGAAGGGGAGGTCAGTACTTTGAAGCATTTGAAAAGTACAATGACAACTACACTGTATATAATCAATGTTTCAATTTCTAAGACCCTCGATCTAGGGTGATATGATATTATAGGCCGTAACTCTCGGTTACCCTGTTTGAAAATATACTTACTTTATATATAAAGTCAAGTAGTCGGCTCGTGGGCCCATATTCATTTAAAACACCCATCCTCATCTCACGTGACTACTAGTCACGATTATCGTATATTTATAGTAAATTATTACGCCGTTCTAGGGCTTTAGCCTAACGCGTTACTTCACTATTTCGGAACACCGTTCACTTATTATATTTACACCGTGCTAGAGCCTCGCTCGTAGTCACCTCTCATCGTGCTAGAGCCTGGCTCTTAGTCACTCTACATTATGCTAGAGCCTCGCTCATAGTCACTCTACATTGTGCTAGAGCCTCGCTCGTAGTCACCGTTACACCGTGCTAGAGTCTGGCTCTTAGTCACGTTACTAAGTCTCTACGCAATCTCAATGCCTAGACTTCATTCACTTTGAGTAACCTTTAAGGCCTACCCCTAACATATCTTAGAGCTCGTACAATTCGACCTTAAAGTATCTCTTAAGACTACTTAACACATCACTATTTACAATCTTATCTCTTAGGATTAATTCCATGATTTTTGTATTAACATCCCGACTAGTATTTCAATACTAGTCGGATATTCTTAGAACAACCAAATCCTTAATTCATAGTCAAATAATTCATCACAATGATTTTCCAATCCAAATATGATTTAGTCTCAATATCAAAAATATCACTTTTATCCATTCATGAATTATTTACATGAAGTAAAAGTATATTTCATCACAATTTTTCATAGTTAATTCCCACTTATCATGCCATCATTTGATTCATTTCCATATCACATAATCATACACAATTTATTCTAAATTTGTATATCATGCTTCATTTACTCATATCGATAGTATTTTCATTTAGCCATTATTAATTATTAATAATCCATGAAAGTCACATTTAATTACCTTAGGTAATCTTATGAAATTAACTCACCAATTATAAGCAATATAATCAGTCATCCTCACCTTAAGATGTGCTACAATAGTTTCCTTTGCTAAGCCCTCCGATCAATCCCCGTTCTAGGTCGATTGAAAGCAAAAATCCTGGACAGCAGCCAAAAGCCGGACGGCTTTCACAAAAGCCGGATGGCTTTCACAAAAAGCCGGACGGCTTTCGTGTTCTACATATTCGAGCAGCTCCTTTTGAGTGGCGGTTTCAGACGATTTCGACTCCTATCGATTCACCAACTCTCCTAAGTTAATTACCACCACTTTATAACAATATTCTACAGTTTTAAACGTGTAGAACTTCGCATTTAACCCACCATATGATTTCTTAAAAATCATACACCAAGAAACTAGTTAAAAGAAATGGTTGAGTTCTTACCTTTCTTCTAGCTACTTTCTTCGATCTTGGATTTCCTCCCCTCTAGCTTCCTCTAAGTTTCTTGTTTGTGAGAGTTATCCTCCCGGAGCTCTCCTCTAATGAATGGTTCGAATGATGCTAGCATAGGGGTATCACTTATTCAATCAACCCAAAATAATTTTGGGTGATGGGGTCATGAGGGTGTAGTTTTTGTCTCTAGAAAACTTCCTCCATCTCCTTTCATATCCGCACAAGTCATTGTGTCTTGTCCCCCCTATCATATTATTTGAGTCAATTTAGTGTGTAGAATATTCCAAGTGGGTGTAGAAAGTCTCTCCCAATTATTCCTGCTATTTTTGACAGGTTGGGTCAAAATAGCACTTCGGTTCACCCAAACTTTTCCTCAACTTTAGTTGACATTTTATTGGGCTTCTATAATTATTAATGTGATCCAACTAAATATTTGGTAGCCCATTCTCAATATTATGGATCCGATAAATAATTTAATTAATCGTTCATTAATCGAATATATCATTCTTTTACACGAAATCATTCGCTAGAAAAATTCAAATACATACTGAATTTTAAATTCAAGTACATCCAGGTGCGGTGTCACAACAACGCCCCAAGTCAATTATTTTCAACAAATATTGGAGGGGCACCAAGCCATCTTAGTTGGATTCAACGCTTTCAACATCAACTATACGGCTATGGATGGACGCATCACACAACTCCACGAGCAGTTTGGGCACTTGGAGGAACGCCAACGGTTGGGGTTTCAGCATCTAGAAGAGAAACAACGGTTAGACTTTCAACGGTTAAGGAAGACCAACATAGGGTATTTGGCCTTATGTATGCATATTTTGATTATCGGGGGAACTTCTCATCCATGTAATTAACCCCCACCCCACCCACACACACACATGCGCACACAACACCCCTCATGGTATGACTCCACTCACTGGGGTGACTTTGATGGTCCAAGCACTAGCGTTCAGTGGTAACGTAAATGATGACGGATATGGAGGCATGGGCGGTGGCGATGGAGGCTACGTGGGTGGCTACCACCAAGATGATGGCGGCGAGCACTACGAACAATGCCTCGGACTAAGTAGGGGGATCACTCATTGTTATGTACATATTCTTTTTCTACATTGTAACTTGCATTATTTTCTTCTTTTAAAAAAAGAAATGAATAATTAAAAAGAAGAAATGCTAGTTATGTTGAAAACCCAACGTTGGGAAATCTAAGCAAAAAGTGGCTAAATGAGTGAGTTGACAGACAAGAAAAAGAATAGAGAAGCTAGGATGAAACCTTAAAAAGACTCATAGACAAAATGAGAGATATGAGAGATGAAATTGTTTTTACAGGACATTGGTTCATCTCAAGAAGCCAATAGGAGAAGAGGAAGCATGACCAAGCATAGAAGTCAATACAAATTGTATTGAGTATTAATCTCAATCGATTTCATCTTAAATTGTATTGCTACTATCGGGTCATTATACGACGCGTGTTCTATATTGACTTGATAGTAAGTTTTATTAATGAACATGTCTCGTTATTATAATTACCCACGATGAATTGGAGATACTCCACAATTGAGTATTCGAGAGAGAAATACTTAAAGATATAACCAAGATCGACAAAACATTTCATTAAGTGGATATAAGCAAAACCAAGTCTTCATATCTATTGAATTAAAACACATAAGTCGTTCATCTTCGTGTTTAAATACTCTTAAGTTCAACATCAATCTTAAAAAAAAACCTTGTTACTATTTCAGTAAAAGAGAAATATTCTTTTGTCTGTTCGTTGTTACTCCAAGGAACTTCAGTCGGCCATTAATGGCAGATACTGTTCCTGAAGCGGGAGAGAGCTATGGCTGCCGAGGGCGCTGCCACAGAGGCATATGAATGAGCTAAGCGCTACAGGAGGCGGTGCTACGCCGGAGGAGGAGCATGGTCCTCTCCGGGTTCTGAGTCGGATCTACTCCATAATAATAATAATAATAATAATAATAATAATAATAATAATAATAATAATAATACTCTATAGTCTGTAATAAAAACAACAACAATCGAATAGAGATCACTCGTATATTTATAGAAAACACCCTATACATATATAGCTCGTTTGGTAATACCCAAATCGATTATATTAGCTAAATCTGATGAAATTTATGAAGTTCTGATTAAGGTGACTGGATTGACTAATTATAATGATTTATGAAAAAATTATATTTACAATATATTTTATTAATAAAACAAAGAAAAAATTATATGAAAAATGGTTTAAATGATCGTCTAAACTCCAACCAATATAATTAGAAAAATGGAAATTTACCATTTATAAGAATCACAGGGAGTCCATGTAAAACTGAAATGCTTGAAACATACATAAAGCGGTAAGAAGTGGGGCAAACGGCCCGAAAAGAAAAGAAAAGGTTTGCCCAAAATATAGGTACGGCGCATCCGGGCAAGAGCCTGGCCTCGCACTTTCTCTCCCCGCTACCTCTCGCTTTCTCGGAAACACAAGCTGACAAAAAACCTCATCTCACACATTTTTCATCTTTCTTCTTCTTTCAACCTCCGCGTAGATTCACGCGCTTCGCACCCCAGACGCGCATCTCTCTGCTCTCCCATCTGGGCTTCTCTCTTTATCTCTCCCCCCTCTCTCAGAGGCTTCTGCTGGCCCTGAGAACCCTAGAAATCTCACTAGTTGCGAAAGATACTCTTTTTTTTTTGTAAAAAATAATATATAGATTCGCTGGAATGTTCGCTTCTTTGGGGCTACATATGCGTGAGTTCAGGTGGTGCTAGCTGTTCGGCTTTCTTTGTTGCTCTTTGTATTCCAATTATGATTAGATCCGACGGGAAGGATATGAAAGACTTCACCGACTCTTCTAGCTCTATCTCCGGTCAGTTTACTTCCTTCACCTCTTTATTTTAGTTTGCTTCGGACTTAATATTGTTTAACTTTCCGTTTTGTCGATTTCTCACCTTTTCTTCTTGTCAAGCGCCAAAATTTTTGGCTTGGGTAGATCCACAGCTGTTTGGAATGGCCTAAAGCATGTCAAAGCAATTGACTTTCCCCCCACGTGAGTTGTTTTGCAGGTGGTGCACTGTTTGATTCATCTCAGTACGCGTTTTTCGGGAGAGATACTCTTCATGAATTTGAACTAGGGGGTTTAGACGATGAAGAAGATAGTAGTAACATGCCCGCCCATGATGTTAGAATTGACACACTACCGGAGTATCATTTGTTTGAGAAAGATGAGGTATGGTTCATTTTGTTGTGTTCGTGAATGCAACTCTATAATAGGCCTGTTAAATGGGGATGTAGATCTTGGTCGTTTGGTATAGATCAGGAAACTTTGAAAAATTGAAAAGGTTTCTTCAATATACTTTGAGTAGGAGACAATATGAGCTCTTCAAACTCGTTCTATTGTGCTCATAGAACATAATTTTTAAGGCGTGTGCTGTGATTTTTGGTTCTCTTACTTGTATGAATGAATAAAATCAAACTATTTCTCTGTAAACAATTTCCTTAGAAAATCTGTATATTTATTGTTGTGTTTTGCTTTAAGTGATGCGTATTTTACATGTTTGTTATTGCTGCAAACTGTGCATTATTGTTTGTGTATTGTGTTTTACTAATAGTAATATATTCTGCTCAGAATACTTATTATCATTATCCGGTTATCATATTAGAGCCTCGTAACTGACTTCTGTATTTTCCTCTGATTCTTACCATGCAGGAATCAACATTAGGTTCATTATCTGATCTAGATGATCTAGCCACTACATTTTCGAAGGTTAGTTTGCTGTTATTATTTTGACTTAATTTTATTACACTCATTCAAGCAAAAAAAGATATTTGGCAGCTCATTTATTTCTGATCGGTTCTATAGTCCCTCAATGTTAACTTGGAGCAACTCTGCCCCCGCCTTTTGTTAACATCATTATTGAGAATATGAAAGAAAATGATACACATGCTTCTATGCAATTGCAAAAGATGCGAAACCAGAAGTGGTGTGAGGAACTTAATGGGCAACTATTTTATTTATTTGATGACTGAATTGCACCAAATAAGAAAAGAGGTACTACATTACATAATCGAGAACAATTGGGGTATCAAGTACTAAATTACCATTTTTCATTTGCACTTGGTTCTTTTGACTGCATTCAGGCTGATCTTTTGGGATGAACATTGCGTTTGATGTTCTTATATCTGGCTAACTCTGTAAATTGGATGCATTTTAATTGCTACGATAATTATGTTGATATTTGTGATAAATAATGTATGTTGTCAACTAAATTGCTCTAATTGTCTTTCATTTTTTCTAGTTAAACAGAAGTGTCACGGGCCCAAAACATCCCGGAGTCATTGGTGATCGTGGGTCTGGATCTTTTTCTAGGGAAAGTGAGTTTCTTTATTATTATTGTTCATTCATATATCTGGTTTTCATGGAATCCCTGTCCTTGCGTTGATCTCCTCATGTAAAACAAGTTCTAAATAACAAGCAAACCGAGGAAAGTGAATATCTACTTGATTATTCATTATTCATTGCCCGCTTTTCAGTTTTACTTTATTCTCTTCATTTGGGGAAAAAACATAAAAATTGCGGAAATGGACACCCCCAAACAAAACAAAGAAAACTTTTGTTTGCCGATGTTTTTAATCATAGGAGGATATGACTGACATTTATTAAAATTTTGTACAGGCTCTTCAGTAGCGGAATGGGTAAAAGACGCAGAGTTTCATGACTTGTCTGATCAGCATTTATCTGACACAGAATGTTATCAGGAAAACAAAAAATGGTCTTCCCAACCGCACCTCTCTGTTCATTTTGCAGAGTCGAAACCACTCTACAGAACATCTTCATACCAACATGCTCCTCAACTACATCAACTACAACACCGCTCCAGTGAACCAATTCTGTTACCAAAGTCATCTTTCACTTCCTTTCCTCCTCCAGGTAGCATAACTGAGCAGGCTTCCCTACATACTCTTTCCCATCACTATGATCTTTCATCACATGGTGGGCCACAGTCACCCTTCTCCCCTGCAAATATGTCAAGCCCAAACATTCATTTGCCTGGCCTGTCCCACTCGCACATGCACCACCACCGTAATATAAACATACCACAGCGAACCACTTCTGGTGGACCATCTCTAAATAACAGCAATCTACAAAACCATTGGGCCAATCATCCAAACCCGTTAATGAACAATGTTTTGCCACATCAATTTGCACATCAGAATGGACTATTATTATCCCCTCAGTTGATGTCTCCCCAACAACAAAGACTGCATCTTTCTGTTCAACCTTCGTTAGCACATTTTTCAGCCTTGCAATCTCACCAATTGTATAGTTCTTTTCCTGCACCAGTTCACCTGGGTAAATACGGGCCGCCCAATGCACGGGATTCTAGACCATATAAATCACATAAAAGCAAAAGTGTGCGATTTTCGCAACAAGGCTCTGATGCTTCTAGTCAGAAGAATGAAAGTAATGCCTCACATTTTCGGTCAAAGTACATGACAGGTGAAGAAATAGAAAGTGTTCTAAAAATGCAGCATGCTGCAAACCATTGCAATGATCCATATGTGGATGATTATTACCATCAGGCTTGCCTGGCAAAGAAAGCCGTCGAGTCCAGGACAAAGCATCGTTTCTGTCCAAACAAGGAGCAGCAGCCTTCACGGTCACGTAACAGCACAGAATCTTTGCCCCATCTCCATGTTGATGCTCAGGGACGCGTTTCCTTTTCTTCCATCCGCAGGCCCCGTGCCCTTCTTGACATCCACCCACCGGGGTTTGCTTCTGTTGAAGGCGTGGGCGACCGAAAAACAATCGACACACCTTTGGAGCAAGAACCCATGTTTGGCGCTAGAATCACTATAGAAGATGGCTTTCATCTCCTCACCGAGGTGGATGACATCGACAGGCTTCTTCAGTTTAGTCAGCCCCAAGATGGTGGGTCACAGCTCAGACGGAAACGACAGATGCTGTTAGAAGGCATGGCGGCATCACTTCAACTTGTGGACCCGCTTGGGAAAACCAGCAGCCCTATTGGGCTGAACCCTAAGGACGACATTGTGTTTTTATGGTTGGTGTCGATTCCAAAGGGCAAAAAACTCATCTCAAGGTACCTTAAGCTTCTAATTCCTGGAGGGGAGCTTGCCAGGATAGTTTGCATGGCAATTTTTCGCCATTTGCGGTTTTTATTCGGCGGGCTTCCATCAGAGCAAGGAGCATCTGAGGCCATTTGTTATCTTGCAAAAGCTGTATCAACATCAGTGTGTGGAATGGGTCTTAATTCATTAAGTGCTTGTTTGGCTGCAGTGGTTTGCTCATCCGAGCAGCCACCACTACGTCCACTCGGAAGTCCATCTGGAGATGCAGCATCTGTCATCTTAAAATCAGTTTTAGATAGGGCAACTTACCTGTTAACTGATCCTGCTTCGGCCTCCTCTAATAACTATAGCATGCCTAACCCAGCCCTATGGCAGGCATCATTTGATGCCTTTTTTGGTCTTCTTACAAAGTATTGTGTTAGTAAATACGACAGTATAAGGCAATCCATTGCACAGACCCAAACAAGCACAGAAGAGATGATTGGTCCCGAAGCAGCAAGGGCTGTTAGCCGAGAAATGCCTGTAGAACTTTTACGCTCTAGCCTTCCACACACGAATGAGAATCAAAGGAAACTTTTACTGAATTTCGCACAGCGTTCCATGCCTGTTACAGGTTTCAATAGTCATTCTGGAAATGGCGGACAAACAAATCCAGAATCTGTGAGCTGCTAGATGGTAGAAAATTTAATCACTTTTGGTCACATGACTAAATAGGGTATTTCCCACTTTTTTGGTCACCAAATTTAACTTTTTCACGTTTTCTTGGTCGAATACAGATTTCTTTGCCTCATGTAGTTATTTTGACCAAATGTCCTGTACGTTTTTTGGTTGGTTTCTCTAGTCAAGAAGCCTTGAAGGATCAAAAGTGGCAAAAAAAATCATATTTGAGACCAGAATGGAAGAGGAAGTTTGGAACAAAAAGTGGGAAATATGTTACAGAAGAAAGAGTATTATTAATGGCATCTTTTTAATGCCAAAGACTCAATCTTCTTTAACCCTTTTATGTCCCGCCCCACCCCACACACTGTCATTTACTTGTAAGTTGTTCTAGGTTAGAAATTAGTTTCTGTGGTAGTACCTTACATAGCGTTGTATCCGTCAAAAATGTGACGACATTGGTCACTTGATCTTTCTTCGTAAGAGCTTTATTTTTATGCTCTTTATGTAAAAATGGATATGTACAGGTCTACCATGGAAAAGATTCTATAACTGTTGCAATTTCTCATTCCACTTTACCCACTTCTCCTTCTGAAGTAGTGTGGTGTGGTTGGTAGTGGGGGGCGGTGGGAATGTATTTTGTTGCAGGAGATGTAATTTAGTTTGCTATTAACTCTTGGTGACAAAATTGTACTCCGTAATACTTAGAGATTGCTACAGCTAGTTTTCATTAAATGTGTTTTACATTTGCCTAATGATGCTTCAATTGGGTCCGTGTACTGCTTCAATTGCCTAATGTTTTTTTCCTTGAAAATTTGGGGAATGGGGATATTTGATGGAAACCTATTTATATGAAATGAATGAAAATATGTGCTTTGATCGTGCACACTTTAAATCTGAGCGAATGTACTTTTATGGAGTTCACACTTTTACTTTTACTCCACCATCTGAGGAGTACCATGTGATATTCGACTCTACAAAGTAGCCGAAATTGCATCACTTTTAGATAGATATGTATAAAATATACATACGTGTTAATACTCCCTCCGTCCCAAAATGAATTTCACAGTCACTATTTACATAGTCAACTTAAATTACATTTAATCTTATGTTTTATATATCAAATTTTTATCAGGTTTTAATGCACATTTTCAATATGTAAATTTTATTTACTAAAAGTAAAAGTAATCTGAGTATGAACAGAGAAGTTAATTTTAGCGACACTCAATTGAATAGTATAAAAGTTGGTGTTCTAGAGACACTCAGATACTTTTAGCGAACGCACATGCTGCTAGGTGGATGACTTCAATTGAATGGTTGACATAATAGCGCCAAGGGTTGACTCTTGTCGTAGTTTGGAAGAGACTTCACAGGTCTGTTCATGTGGGTGGAAGGCCTGGGCCCTGGAGGCGCACGAAGATATTTGAGATTCACACTTCTAGATAATGTTACTCCACTAAGCATATCTCCACTATGCGGAGTATATTTTTAATCCTTTTTTACTCCGGCATTTGGGGAGGGGTTGGGGGTTTGGAGTAATCAGGGCTGAAACGCACTTCATTGAATTTCAAACCCTTATTGTCTAACGAGTTTCGAATTCGAGACCTCCCATTAGGCATGATCTCACAATCAGCTGGGCTGGAATGCTTGGTTATATTTTTTTATTAATCCTTATACAAAGAGGTCATACACACATATAGGAGTGAGTTTTAATACAAAGATATATTCCCATGAAAAGTAGGAAGTGATCTAAGGCTCTAAGCTCTTGATCACTTCCAATGAATGGAGTAGATCAAAAATCGTGTGCAGAAATATACATCCAAATGTGAAATACATAATACTAAAAGTGCATATTTAAAAGTGCATATACATATGTAAATGTGCATATTTACTTCATTAGAAAAGTTACAAATTGATTTTTATAGTTTTCATTTTATTTTAAAGCATCACTTTGACAATATGATATTGCACTTTTTCAGCACAACGATGCACTTTTACTTTAATGGGTCCAATAGAGTTGTATCATATTGTCACCGCATTTTTGCTTTAAAAATTTATCTGATCTTTCCATTTTATCAATTTAAAGGCCTAGATTAAGGATGTTTTTACTTGGACTGGTTTAGTCTAGTCTGGTCTAATCTGGTTTGGTCTGTTTTAGTCTGGTCTGGTGTGTTTTGGTCTGATCTGGTCTGAAATTTTATTTTTTGTATTTTTTACATAAAGATTTTATTTTTTATATATATTATAATCATAAATACTTCGTAGAATTAGACTTTATTTTTAGGAAACTAATTTAATTATTGATTAACAATAAAGCCCAAACTCCAAAGACCCAACTAATCTACTGCTTTATAAGCTTACGAAATACGAAGTATTCGAACTATTCGTTGCCCATCGCCGTAGAAGACTTGCCGCAGACGAACCACAACAACTCCAGGAAGAAATTTCGCCCTTCCTGCAATGTTCCTCGCTGAAGCAGACGACTTCGCATGTGGTTCGGCTCTCTTCTCGTCTCATCGTTTGTCCTAGTTGCTTAAGTTTTTTAGTATTTTTAATTAAGTTTTATAGTTTTATATAATTATATAATAATAATAATACTAATAATAATAGTAGTAGTAGTAGTAGTAGTAGTAATAATAATAGTAATAATAGTAATAATACTACTAATTATAATAATAATAATAACAATAACAACAACAACAACAACAACAATAATAATAATAGTAATAATAATAATAATAATACTAAAAATAATAATAACAATAATAATAATAATAATAATAATAATAATAATAATAAAATATGGTCTGGTCTGGTCTGTTTTAGTCTGGTCTAGTACGGTTTGATCTGTTTTGGTCTGGTCTAGTCTGGGACAAATTACAGTCCAAGTAAAAACAACCTAATTCTTATTTTTGATCTTGGGATGACTTTTTATTTGAACCAATCCCTATATATATAGGGATTGAGGTGGTTACGGGGGATATTTTTGGCTGAATTTTTTTATATATGTTCCTCATCAAGTCTAGTTCATTGATACCAAATTTGAGCTAAAAATTCAATCGGGAAGGTCGTCAAATGATTTTTGCATGAAAACTGCATTTTATATGTATATTTCGGACCAGTTTTCATGCAAAAATCATTTGATAACCTTCCCGATTGAATTTTTTACTCAAATTTGATATGGATGAACTAGACTTGATTGATGAGGAACATACACAAAAATTTTCAGCCAAAAATACCCTCCAGAACCACCTCAAATGGAGGTGGCCGGAGGAGCCTCCTGTTCGGCCTGGCCGGACAGGAAAAGGACTATATATATATATATATAGGGAAGTGATCAAATAAAAAGATGTTCTCCCGTGCAAATTGCGAACAATTGCACTTTTTCTTCACCGCGTTGCACTTTTGCGTGTTTCTGTTGCACTTTTTCGCGATGGCAAAAAACTTCGTTTTAATTACGAAATTGCCACCGCGTTTTTGATCAAATTTAGTTCACTTTTGGCTCATTTTGAACCATTAGATCTCAAAATGAACGCACGAGATTAATTCTCACTTTGCATGGGAAGACCTCTTTGTATTTGAACTATCCCCTATATATATAGGGAAGAGTTCAAATAAAAAGTAGTGTTCCCGTGCAAAGTGCGAAATTTGCACTTTTTCATATTTCGCTTTCATTTTTGCTTGTTTTCGTTGTACTTTTTAGCGGTAGCAAAAAAAATTAGTTTAGTTACAAAACTGCCACCGTGGTTTTGGCCGAATTTGGTCAAAATCGCAATAGCGAAAAAGTGCAACAGAAACACGAAAAAGTGAAAGCGAAACATGAAAATTGTGAATTTCGCACTTTGCACGGGAACACCACTTTTTGTTTGAACTCTCCCTTATAGGTTCGGATTCTAATGAGAAGACATCTTAACGTGAGAAGTGAGAAGTTACACATTTACCTATTTGTGATGCACTTTTTTGCTAATCTGATGCACTTTTTGCGATGACAGAAAAGTTCCGATTAATTACAGAAATGCCACCGCGTCTAGCATCACTTTTTAAATATTTTTTGCACTTTCTTGTGTACTTTTTTGCTAATCTGATGCACAGATTTTAAATTGAACGCACCAGATGCATTCTCACTTCTTACGATAAACACTCTTCTCATTTGATTTTTTGAAGTTGATTGCGTTTTTCTATGTATAATTTGGCGCAATCAACTTCAACAAATTGTTTGAAGGCCTTCCTGACCGGAACCGCCATGCGGACGGAAGCGTTTGGCCGCCTTCCCGGTGGAATTTTTTGATGAAAGTTTTATGGCATGTTCTTCATCAACTCTAGTTTATCCACAAAAAAAATCAGCTAAAAACTCAATCCGGAAGGTCGTCAAATAATTTTTGGAAGTTAACTGCGCCGGAAAATACATATAAAACGCAGTTAACTTTCAAAAATTATTTGACGACCTTCCGAATTGAGTTTTAGCTGAATTTTTGTGGATAAACTAGACTTGATGAAGAACATGTCATAAAAATTTCATCAAAAAATTCCATCGGGAAGGGCCCCAAAAGCCGTCGGCCGGACGGCGGTTCTGATCCGGAATTCCGGACCTGAACATTTGTCTATATATATGTGTGTGTATGTGTGTGTGTGTGTGTGTGTATATATATATATATATATATATATATATATATATATATATATATATATATATATATATATATATATATATATCAGTAACAATGTCCAGAGTTTCCTGACCGGACCCCATCCGGCCTCCGTCGTTTGGGGCCGTTCCCGGTGGTATTTTTTGGTGAAAGTTTTTGTGGATGTTCTTCATCAAGTCTAGTTTATCCACACCAAATTTCATTTAAAAATTCAATCCGTGAAGCAGTCAAATGATTTTCGGAAGATAATTGCGTTATATATATATAGAGGGAGGTTCAAATACAAAGTACTACTTATATGAAAAATGAGAAGTAATCTTAACCGTTAAAATGAGAAAATGAGTGGATCAGATCAATTTTTAAGGGAAAAATTCGGTGCCAAATCTGTAATTTTTAAAAACTTTTTTGAAAACTAACGTGACAATTTGCATCACTACGGAGGAAAAGTGCATTAGACTAACAATAAAGTGCATTACTTTTCAGGAAAAACATATTAAGTATAAAGATGATTCCTGATGTTTTTTTTAGAAGGTCTATGTGCACCATTACATATTGAATATGCACTTTTGCTATTATGTATTACACATTTTTGTTGATCGTGAGTTTTGATCTATGCCATCCAGTTTTAAGTAATCAAAGGCTTAGATTAGTTCTCACTTTTCATGAGAAGACCTCTTTGTATTAGAACTCACCCATATATACATATATATATATATATATATATATATATATATATGGGTCAAATAAAAAGTGGTCTTCCGGTGCAAAGTGCTAAATTTGCACTTTTTCATGTTTCACTTCATTTTTTCTTGTTTTTGTTGCACTTTTTCGCGGTAGCTCAAAAAATTGGTTTATTTACAAAACTGCCATCACCATTTTGGCCGAATTTGGCCAAAATCGCAATGGCCAAAAAGTACAACGGAAACACGAAAAAGTGCAAGCAAAACATGAAAAGTGCAAATTTCGCACTTTGCACAGGAAGACCACTTTTTATTTGAACTCTTCCCTATATACACACACACACACACACACACACATATATATATATATACATATATATATATATATATATATATATATATATATATATGGTAAGGATCTGTTGGAAA